TGTGTTATTTGTACCTTTATTTAATTTTATAATTTATTTAAAAATATAAAAAATAGTAGCATATTAATTTTATAATTTATTTGTACTTTTATTTAATTTTTGAATAATATTTATTTACAATTATTATTTTATATATATTAATTTATTTATTTTTTAATACGTATCAACGTATCGTATCCTATATTTTTAAAATTTGACGTATCGCCGTATCGGATACGTATCGTATCCGATACGCGTATCGTATCCGTGCATCATAGGTGGTGGCACCTTTGTTCAGATAGCCTTTGTACACAACCCCGAATGAATCTTTTCGGCTTTTCCAATGACCAAAGATTCCTTAAAGTTTGTTAGTGCTGACTTTATCTCTACAAGTGAAAAGTGGTGGCAAAGGATGTTGAAGGTGGTTGTTCCGAGTAATCTGTTTTCCCTTGGCTCACGGATAGAAAAACATGACAAATATGAGAAAAGTCCCATTTGTGTAGTGGTTGAAGAAGTGTAAGGCATAAATAATAAATAAACTTGGATGCGATATGAGCCCGAAGGATCAAAATTCGAGTATCCCAAATCATGAATTTTTTTTGAACAATTTATAAAAAAGTAAAGAAATTAAAAAGACAAAAATATAAATTGAGATAAGAAATAGAATAATAACCTAACAATAGCCGTAAATTGATAAATTGAAAAAAATTCACTACTTTAAATTAAGAAATTCAAGGATAAAAAAAAATATATCTTCTTAAATAAAAAAATATTTAAATTTAAATAATTTATTATATACCGAAATTCATACAAAAGATTCTTATTTATAAGTTTAGATGGACATCAATACAAATTTTCACTAAAATTCTACTCACAAATAAATTTCTACTAATTTTCATTAATACTTAATTTTTACTATAATTAACTCTCCACTATCCCAATTATTATTATTATAATATAAGAAGTCTAAAAATATTAAAAATTGACTTAAGTAATATAAAAAGACATATAAATTATTTAAATATAAAAAATACGAAAATTATATTAATAATTAACAAAATGAGTTTAAACAACTATTTAACCCAAAAATTAATTAAACTCTCTACATCTGTACTTCTTTTTTATCATATATATTTGAATTTGTCATATTATCTTCAAATTGGTCTGTCTTCGTCAAAGATTTAAAAAATAATATTAGATGATATCTTTGTAAATTTTATCATGCAAATCAGTTTATTTATTTTATTTGTCAAACTTTTTCAATTACATCGTTTGATAGATTCCATCATTTTGGAATAGATCGCACACACACTCACGTCTCATATATTGTGCTTCGAAAATATTGCAATAATGTTGCCCAGTCTTGATAATTGTCCCAATAAGAGTATAAGACTGAGACAGAGAAAAGCTACATGAAGCCTTGGATCTTGGTCATTGATATAGGGTTCTTGAGTTCTTGGTCTTGCACCTCTTGGCACCGTGGTAACGTCTGGTGTAATAATATTATATTAGGTTAGTTACATTCTAAGCTTTGAATGACAAGACACAAATTATCATCGTATACAAATAATTATCTAGTTATCTTGCCTTTTTTTTCTTCTTTTTTTTTTGATAAAAAACACATGTCACTTTTATATTAGAATAGCCATTCTTTGATATTGCGACTTGCAAGTGCTGCATAGAAAAATATTACTACTTCCGTCTTTGTATATAACACTATTTTCGCAATAACTTATAATAATATTAACTATTTCTATTAATTTAATATTTATCTTTATATATAATTATTATTAATTTATATATTTAATATTTATCTTTGTATGTAAATATTATTAATTTATACAGTTAATATTTATCTGTATATATAAATATTATTAACTTATATTTAATATTTATCTTTATATATAAATATTATTAATTAATTGTATATAATTATTATTAATGAATATATTTAATCTTTATCTTCATATATAAATATTATTAATTTACTTTAATAATTTTATGAATTTTAAAATTTATTATATTTTTATATTGGCTAAATAATGGTTTTGATTCTTTATTTTATTTATTAAATTTATTTTAATTATATATCTTTTAAAATATTTATTTTGGTACTTTATCTCTTAAATTTGAATTAATTTAGTGATTTTGAAATAATATTTTTTTTTAATTTTGATGTATGATTTGAATTAATTTTTTACTGATCTAAAACCTAAACTTATTTCATTGGATTCATTTATATGAAAATTATTGAACGCAATTTAATTTCAAATAAAAATGTGTTACAAACATGATAAAATTTGCATAAAAATGAGTCTAAAAGAAAATTTAAAATTTTTAAAATATAATTTCATATTATTTTTAATTTTTTTATGAGACATTTTTCACACAAATTGTTCTATGTTTATAATCTTTTAGATTCAGCATCAGTTGAATTTCATAATTTTTATATAGTTGAATCTAATGTTACAAGTTTCACGTTATGAATAAGTTGAAAATTGATTTTAAAATTGTGTCATAAAATAAAAAAAATTATTATTGTTTCAAAAGGACAAAATTAATTTAAATATAAAGATAAAAGATTAAAATAAATATTTTAACAAATAAAAAATTAGACAATAAGATAAAAATATATATATAATTTAATCTTTTTATAGTTGTTTTATATCTTATTCATTTTAATTTTATTCCAAATTTGGAACAAACTAGAAAGTGACTTTTGTTCTTAAATTACTTGTGAGTATAGTTTTAAATATGGGATGTGTTTACGGTGGAATTTGTTTACGGGTTCTTTTTATTTAGACTAGCACAACAAGTGTTTCAATTTAGATATACGTTTTCGAGCTCTATAGCATGAAAAAGAATGGAGTAGAATGATCAATGATTACTAATTTCTAAGCATTCATCAATGATTAACACATAATAATTTTCATGCACGTAGACGCTTAGATGAATAGAATGAACGATAATGACATTGCCAATACAAATCATGGTTCACTTTATACAAACCTCCAAAATATTACAGCATTGATAACGATCTAACATTACGAGATTTGAAGAACAAGAAACTACATTAATTCTACTCCTAAGACGAAAACAGGAAAATGGCCGAGAAGAAATCATACCCAAAAACAATTCGTTGCACGAAAGCCATATGCGCAGGCAGAGAGTGCTTCAGAGTTAGGTTTTAGTATGAGTTTTCCGACCACGTGAAAGACCGAATTTTGTCTATTTATAGAGCCTCTCGAGAGTAGTTTCTTTTCGTATGCATGGGTTGTGGGTGTATAACTGCTCTACACGTTCTTTGAAGCATAACTTCCCATAACCGTTCTTTGCACGTGCTTTTTATCTCTTCGATTTATTTTTTGGTAATCGCTCTGGCATAACTACCTAATTGTTCTAGAATAAACCTTCGTCTATTTTTCGAGTAGTCCTTATTATTCTTATTCGACTATACCTCGAGCACAAACAAATAGGACTTCATGTGTTCTCAGCAGGTACTGATTTGACGTTTATATTTTTCTCGAGTATCACTGTTAATACAGTTTTTCTACTCTTATGGTTTTTGAGTAGTTTCAACATGATGAAATTGTTCAATTTGGTTGTTTAGATTTTTTTTCTTGCCACGGTCTACGGTATCTCTTGTATAGAGGGTCAAAGAACAATTTTGTTCTTGATACTTTACGGGCGCTGTCTTAACGCTCGAGTTTTCACCCACGGTAGGAATTCAACGTTAATTTTCTGTTAAATAAATTGTTCTTGCAACATGTATGTGAAGAGTGTATAATCTATATGTTTACCTATCGAATTATTTGATTCTTTGGATTCAGAACTGGTTTGGATAATTCCGAATCAATGGCAAATGATTGATTAATGGAGATTAGTCTGCCACTAAATTGTATATTTTATAACAGAAATTATTCATTAATAAATTTAATAAATATTTTGCATCGTTAATATAATTATCTAAAAACAATGCAGTCAAAATCTGGTCAATAGCGAAAAATAGTATATCTAATTGGTATAAAAATTTTACCTAAAAAGATTGTTTCAAAATTAAATTAATACTAATTTAATATTTCCAAAAATAAATTTTAAAAAAATATGTAAATGCAAAATTAAATTAATTTAAGTTTTATAAACTTAATTTTTTTTTAATAACTAATTGGTTGACCAGTATAATGCATGGAATTATTTAAATTTATCTTTTTTAATGTTTATTAACCTTATGATGAGATGTCTAAATTTATTTGTGACACAAATTATGTCAAATAGATTAATTTGCATTTATATATATATATATATATATATATATATATATTAT